GAAACCCCACTGGTGATGTTAACAGAGAGAACTGAATATAAAGCACTAAAACTGAGTATAAAGATGTAATGCCTTCTTAATTAGAAAAGCAAAAGAGAACATTAAAGACCACATGGACCAAGGAGTCTAACACCTGCGTGAAGGTGAAGGCGGCTTGTCGAATGGTGGTGGGGTCCCGGGGAGGGGGCACCTCCCACCCAACCCTCCCGCCTGCCCAGAGGTGGAGCGAGAGTGTCCCTGGCAGGCAGGCCCGCCCTGGAAGACCCAGACTCCTGAGGAGACTGTAGCAAGGCTGCTTCTGCAAACGTTGGAAAAACTGAGAACTGGCTTCAGCTGCTCTGGGAAGGAGCTGCCGCTGCCAGGGTGAGGTAGCACTGCCAGGAGATGAGAACAAACAAGGAGCAGGGCCCTTCTCCCTCCTCCAGCCTTTCTCTCTTCTCCTATCAGGGAGATGCTGGCAGAGAAAGAACGAGGTCGCAGCTTCCAGCCCCAGCACTGGAGTGTAGAAAGGCCGGCTTGGAGCTGAGACTGGTGCTTACCAATGGCACGCTGAGCTCCTGTGATCACCGCTCTGATGAACCACCTGCACCTGAGACCTTGTTTAGGGTCTGCTTTGGGGGCAACCCAACGTAATCCAAACTTCCACAAGTTCCCCCTTGATACCAAACCTCCTTCACTAGCAGTTATCTTTGGGATCTCTGGGGTTGCAAGCAACAGAAACCAATTCTGACTAGTGAAAACAAACAAGCAGCACGTGCGAAGCATGCAGCGTAGCTCTCTGAACTGAAGGGAAGCCTGAAAAGACGGCACAAACCAGCCTGGAAAAGGGACAGGGGTTGCAGTAAGACTGGGGACAGGGCTGCACAGCGGGAAGCAGGGGGGCCACGTCAGAACTCCTCCATCACGGGGCAGCTCCAGCTCATCCAGTCTTGGCTTCTCTAGACTCAGATCTCCTATTCCAACAATGGGTCTGGTTTGGACACTTGCCCACCCACAGGCAGAGGAAGGCAGGATGTCTTGATGGTCCCATCAGGGCTGTAACCTGTGTGGGAGAAGCAGCTCCTCAAGACGAAATCAGGGCTGAGGGCCTCCTGAGCGGTGGGAGAGGTGGCTGGGAAGATGCCCACCAGCCGTCTTAGGTTGGTTCCTCCCAGAAGCTGACTCTGACACAAGGAGTCGAGGTCAAGTCATTTACTTGAAAGGAAGCATCTTTTTGTAGGGAAGCAGGACAGTGGGACACGGAAGGGAGGAGTCCCACTCAGGGCACATAGATGAGTGGGTTTCTCCATGGGCATCTGGGGCTGACACCCACCAGGGACTGTACAACATGTCTTGGAGTTACCCCAACAGAGAAGCGCAAGGGCTGGGGTGTTTATGCACCTGGGCCCCCCGGTCTTGGATGAGTGCTGCTTCCGGGAGGCCCTGCACTGCCCACCTGCCCAGTGTGTGGACATGCTTGCCTGGGGCGTGGGCCTGAACCAGAGCAGCAAGGGTTGGAGGGTCTGTGGGGTCAGCACCAGGACAGCTGATACGACAGCAGTTACTGGTCACCGACTCAGACGCTTGGAGGATGGGGGGCTGGGGGGCTGGGTCACAGCTTCTTTATGGGGAAGGTGGCTTGGGAGAGTCTCGGTCCTGGGCTTGAGGCTGAGTCGGGGAAGAGGGCAGGACCCCTGATATAGCAGTGGCAAAGCTCTGGTGTTTTCTTGTCTTTGATGCTACTGGGAGGCCTGCTCTGAGCCCCCGGGTTTACTTTTTATAAAAACTTGCTTGTTTTCAGAGACCTCAGGGAGAGGAGAAGCCAGGAAATGAACCCATTCTGCAGCTCTCCTGGGGAAAAAGAGAACCAAGAAGGAAAAGTGGAGAGAAGTGCCAAGAAAATGAGCAAGTGGGGCTCTGGGGTGGGGGGAGCAGGGGGCAGACAAAGAGCCTGACTCGACGCCAAGGTGTCCACTGCAGGCAGCCCTGCATTTCACACTGCAAGCCCGGCTTTCAGGCTCAGGTGAACCTCCCGGAAATGCTGCTCACCTGGCCCCTGCCTCCCGCCTCATCCTCCCCTCCTTCCATCGTCCCCACCTCTTTCCATCATCCCCCCCAGTCCCCTTTATTTCCCCTGCTTGAACAGGTCAGTCCATTCCTGCCCCAGGACCTTTGCACTGGCAGTTCCCGCTGCCGGGAATGCTCTTCTCTCCGATCTGCACGTGATGGGCCCATTTTGTCATCAGATCACACGTCACCTCGTCCATGGGGTCTTCGCTTGACCATCCAACTCAAAGGAGACCCCTGACACTGTAGCACATCTCCCTGTAGTATTGTCTCTAGGTTGTTTTCTCTTATTTAGTTATCTGCCTGCTTGTGCAATTCCTTCCTCTCCCTCCAGAAAGTCGTGACTTTGAGAGCAGAAGCACGTCCAGTGTACCCTGCTGTCTCCCCAGAGACATGCGTGGCACAGAACAGGCCCCCAATCCATTCTTGATCATTGATTGAATAAAATATAAAAATGACCTTTCTTTCCAAAAAGATAACTCCCGCCTTTTTAAATAGGAATATTAACAGAACACATGGTCCAAAAACATAAAAAGACTTAATGGGGAAAAGAAAAGGTTTGCCGTGGCTGTTATTGAATATAATATACACGCTGGTCCAAATTCCTAGCACATTCTGCGCTCCACTAATGGTTTTCATTATTCTCTCTTAAGCTTTTAAATGATATGTACCTCAAAACTGTGCCATGGAGCCGGTTCTCCACTCATCTTTTGGAAAGAACAACAAAGGCATATTTCTTTCTTGAAATTGAAACCTCAAATGAATTCAGAGAAAGATTTTTTTAAGCTCTACACAGAAAGGAAAGGAGACTCCATTTAGTATTCTTTGTATTATTTCTAACAAAGAAATAATAGGATGTAATTTACGACACCATCAATTTTCCCTAATAATGTGTAGTTGTCTCGCCAGGTACTTTTGTTTAGGCAAATGCAATAATCCGTTTCAGCACATTTATTCACTGTGTTTAATGTATTCTGGAGCATCTACATGGGGAAGGAGTAATTTCTTAATTGGATAAGTAAAAAGATTATTTTTGGACTGTTAGTAGAAAAAAAGAGATATCTACAGGCAACGTAAAAATTTTTGTGAAGATTCTGGCTTCAAGTAATTCCTATTTCCTAGGATGTGATACTGTAAGTACCTGAGTAAATGTGTGTGCACAGGAGAGCATGCACAAATGTGTAGTATGGTATATTATATTACGGTAATTGAGATCATTAATAAACTTGAAAACTCTCCCCTTACCAGCATGCCACACTGTCTGGCACACAGAGTATGCTGAATAAACGTTGGACTAGTTAATTAACTAACTGCTAAACGAGGAACTACGGGATGACATTTGATTTTGCTTTCTGAAGCCTGACCCAGGATTGCAATCTCTGAGTGACAAATTCTAAGTGACTCAGACAAAAGGACATTCAGCACATACTCTGTGGCAGGTGGCAATGGTCCCCCACTTACATCCCGTGACCCTTACCATTTCCATGTATTTCCATGCCTGACGTCCAAACGCCTGCACCTGTACTTCTCGGCCAAGGGCTTTCCTGGTCCCCAAAGTCAACGCCCTGGGAGCAGCGCTCCCTTCTGACTGACCGGCGTTGGTGGGTCAATACACCAGCTCCCTCACCCTTGGGCAGGGTAACTCGGAGGCACATGTTCTACCCCATCTCCCAGAGCCCCCGGGGGTGGGGGCCAAGCGCCAGCTGCCCACAGGACTGACCCATCTGGTAGCCCATCTCCTTGCTGTCCCTGCCGCCATCTCCCTGCCCTCCTGGCACTTCCTGAGACCACCCCTCCCCCCAGAAACTACATCAAATCCTTGCTGCGAGATCAGCTTCTGGGAGAACCCAAACCAAGACAGACACCTTTAATTGTTTTACTTCTAACAAAACACTCCTCATGTGATCAAATGTTTGTGCTTGAAATGCAGAGAAAACCAGCCAATCCATCATCTAACACATTTCTCTGTGAAATCCAGACTCTGAGCCTCTGACGAGTCTCTCAATGACCCATATGAAGGGCTTGTCTCTTTCCTAAACGAGCATGGCTTGGTGGCTGTTAACAGAGCACCCCTGAGCAAGGCTAACCCACCTAAAAGCCCAAAGCCCCTGTTAATTAGACAAAGGATGTGCAAGCAAAGAAAACGTTTTAATTAAGGCTTCACTGGCAAGCCAGACAGGCCAACTATGGTCTAATCCAAACAAGAACCCTCAGTCTTGTATGGTTTGTCCTAAAATATCAAAGCACTTCCCAACAGTGGCCCAAAGGCGCTTTCTCCCCTCGAGCCTAGGCATTGGAAGAGCACTTCTCCTCCAGCTTCTCCTTGTTTGCCTTCGTGTTTTCGATCACGGTCTCCACGATTACAGCAGTCTCTTCGTATGTCTGGATGCTGTCGGTGGAGAACTTCTCAATAGATTCCATCACCTCCACCTTCTCATAGGCCAGCGTCCTGGGAGGGCTTCTCGCCGGCAGGCTGCTGCTCCAAGCTCCAGGCCCGTCGGACCCACCCTGAGTGACCTGAGGCCCTTGAGACTGGGGTGTAGACGGCCCCTCTGGACCAGGAGAGACTGTGACACAGGGCTCCCTGGCCCCCTCCTCCTCCTTCTGGCCATTCTGTTTCCACTGGGGGCCCTTCAGTTCTTCGGCATTCATCTCATCCCCCTTGTCTACAGTGTGCGGGGTAGAGGGGTGTCCATCTTCTTTCTCCTGGGGAGGCCCTTGTCCATCCTCCAGACCATCTTCTTTCTTGCTCCGTGGCATGTGGGATCTTCCCGGACCAGGGCTCGAACCCGTGTCCCCTGCATTGGCAGGCGGATTCTTAACCACTGCGCCACCAGGGAAGTCCCTGTCTGTAGATTTTTGAAAGTGGTGACAGGTACATAGGTAACGAATGTATATGCATCTTCCTTCCTTAAGTTGGTGTGCACACCACATTATGTGATGCTTGTGTAATAATGCCCTTTGACCACCAGGGACAAGTAAGAAGGGTCAGAAGCCAGCCTCCGACTATGTACAGACCAGCCCTTCGTTTCAAAACTCCCGTGGACGGAAAGACTTAGGTCAGCTTCAGCAGCACTCTAGGTCCCTTGCTACGAAACAGCGTATCAAGCAGAGAACAATCTTGGCCCCAAACAGCAATGTTTAGAGGGTAATGACGAAGGAACAAATGCCCTTCCCGTTGGCTGCTGCTGAGTGAACCCTGGACAGGCTTTTCCAAGGGTGATGTGAACCGTGGGTGCCACAGGCCTGGGCTCCTCCTGAGTCCCTGTACACACAGTCACACAATCAGAGAAAAGTTCCCAGCGAGAAGTCACTCCTACAAGGCATCATGGAAGCACACACTTTACAAAGGTGGCCTAGGGGAGAAGGAGGAGGGGGTGTATCCTGCACCCCACTGCAAATATATTTTAGAATGACCCCTTCAACATTTCTGTCCCCCCCCCAAAGCCCCTCCTCAGCTACAATGCAACTGAGAGTTCCTTCCCTGCCCCACCCCCTTGCACTGTCCTGCCCCTCCCTCTGCCCCTGCCCCCTGCCCTCTAGAATTGTTCCTTAAATATCTAAGAGCAATCTTCTCCCCACACTGTCATGCCCAGTAGATTTATTTCTCCTCTGAAACGTGTCCCCCATCAACCCCCCAGTCCCTGGAAGCCAAGCTTCCCATCAGAAACAGACCACATTAGGAATTCTAGCAACTTTTGCGAGGGGGATAAAATTGTCTTCAAATAGTTGCATAAGGAAAGGAGTGGGTGGGGTCCAAAAGGATGGAGTGGATGGGTCAGTGGACCTGCCTGATCCTCTGATCACACACACAGCGTGAGGCTGGATTCAGGATTGCCCGGCTGAGCCCAGGGCACCAGGAAGGCAGACCTCCAACCACACTCAGGACCCCAGCCCCCTACCCCACCTTGCCTCCTGTGAACCGGGGACCGGCACCCAGAGCTCCCCGGCCCTCACTGTCCACAGGGATCCGGATGCTGGACCAGCCCTTCATGACGGACATTATCGAGGCCTCTTCCATCAGCCACATGCCTCAGCTGATAGACATTTACAGCGCCAGTTGGGGCCCCACCGACAACGGGAAGACGGTGGACGGGCCCCGGGAGCTCACACTCCAGGCGATGGCGGACGGCGTGAACAAGGTAAGGTCGTTCCTGCGCCAGGAGGCCCTGAGCCACACCCGGGGAGGAGGGGTACGGGGTGGGGGTGGGGGAGGGGGAGGGGTGAAGAGTGGGGGAGGGGCGGATCGCTGGTGCCGATTGAGCGCAGCGAGGGGCAGGGCTGCGGTGGAGGTGGGGCTGTTACCCTGTGCCTTAGCTCAGGTCCTTCGAGAAATGGACCCCAAATTGGGTTAGAGGTCCAGACTTATTGGAGGGGGCGCCTGTGAAGGACAAAGGCAAGGGGGCTGGGGCCCTCCGGAGGGCAACGCTATCCTGGCCCCTGAGAAGGGAGGGGGGAAGGAGGGTCCCACAGGGAGCTGCACTAGCACCCCACCGTGCAGACGTGTCTGGGAGCAGCCCTGGGAGCGGGGTCTCCGCGCAAACTGGGTGTCTTCAGAGCACAGCAGGGGAGCTGCGTCCAGATGTTCCCGTGGGGGAGTCAGCGCGCGTTTTCGTGGCTGCCCATCCCTGGGGTCAGTCCGGGAATGGACAGAGCCAAGGAGCAGGGACCAAAGCAGCACCTCAAAGGGAGGCAACCGGGAGCCGCGGGTCACTGTGCGGGTGAGCGGCCCGTGGGGAGTGGCAGGAGGTGGCCTCTGCGATCCCAGGGCAGAGTCCCCCTGCAAACCACAGCCAGGCCAGAGTCTCCCTGGGTTCAGGTCCCAGGTCCGCTCTTCAGGGGCTGAGTGTCTATCCGCAGTGACCTGACCTCACTGCACCTCTGTTTTCCTGCCTGTAAAATGGTGATAACGGTGCATTTCTCCTGGGGTCGCTGTGAGGTGTGAGATAGACATGCAAGTGCTAGCCCTGGGAGGCCCCACAAACAGCTGGTGTTTGCCTGGGTCGTTAGGGACTCTTAACCAGCCGCCCCAAAACTTTGAGGCATAATGCACAGTGTTTCACTAGGGCTTGTGGACGCTGTGGTCCAAGAATTCAGTTGGGAACGGTGGGGATAGCCTGTCCCTGCTCCACAATTGCTGGGCCTCAGCTGGAAGTCTGGGGACTTGAATCACCAGGCTGGTGTGTGTTTGCAGGCCCCTGCGAGGGGCTGAATTACTGGCCATCGGTGCCATGGCACCGTCTCCTCGGGGCACTCAGTCGCTTTGTCTTAGTCTTTTCCCAGGATTGGACTTTCCATCAGGTTGATGCGATGCGCTGTCCCTGCCCTCAGCCCGTCTGAGACAGCGACAAAGATCCCTGACATTGGAATGGCACAGTGCCGTTTACGGGGGGCGGAGGGGTCACCAATAGGATGGCGGGGGAGGGGCAGGAGGTAGTGCTGCTGCCCCATTTCAGTGCCCAGACCCTTAGGAGTTTATAGGGTGAGACTTCTGACATGCAGACAGCTATCTCCTTATTGCATTGTTCACGGTGTGGCTGGAGAGAGACGATTGCACATCCAGGCCCGGAACCAGGTGACAGTGACTGCACATTACCCAGGTGAACACCTGGCAGATGCCCTCCTTCCCCATCAGACATGGATTTTCACTGAGAAGCATTTTTTGACACCTGAGGCCAAAAGAGAGTCAGAGAGTAGGTGACATCTGGCCTCTGTCAGAGTTGACAGTGCAGATGGGCTCAGTGCAGTACATCCCCGGGCGAGTCCTGTCACTCTCCACAAGCTTCTGAACGGCTCCATCACATTTCAAGGCAGGGTACTTCTCTCTTTCCATCTGTAGCGTCCCCTGCTGCAACTAAAAAGGCTCTTTCAAGTATGATTGTTCTGCAAAGCATGCCAAGTACGCCAGAACTTAGGAGAATAATTTGTTATGACTTATCTTCAGCTGACAGCATGTAAATATTTTACAAAGTGGAGTATGGTGAAAAATACAGTTTCTCATCTGACTTTCCCCCAAGCTGTAGGAAGGATTTTTTCCTTATTTCAAGGTGAAATTTTTTGGACAGTGTTATAGAATTGTGTGAGCAATGGGGTATTATACATGAGCAAAAAAGACTTCCTCTCAGTTATTTCCGCTGACTGGTCAGGTCTAAAGGAAAATGTACCCCTGAAAGGTGATCTCCACCTGAACAAAGGAGTCAGATAATTACCTGTTACACTAAAGAAATTCTTATGCTTGTCTTTGAATTTTAGCATCTTGCAGATAGGTTTTGTTTGACCAACGCTGTAATGATAAAAGGGGAGAGGAAGAGGAAACAGAGGATAAGAGAACTTTCCAGGGATGTACCATCTGCCACAGACCCCACCACTCCCTATCGGATGACATCTGCTTCTCACATAAACATCACCTAGCTGGCTCCTTAGGGATTTGAGTTTGCGTCTCCTAAATTTTCTCAATAAATACTTAACAGAGACAGCAGGCAGCTGGCATGAAGTAAGAGAAGAAGGAAACCTTTTCCCCATTTGTTTATTTCAATTTTTTCCTCTTTATAGTCTACGTGTTGAATTTACAGTTAAGACATTCTTCACATTACATATGGGAGTAGATGACAGACAGAGACCCCTGAATTATGATATATCTTGGAATTGACTTAGTTCAGGATCCCGCAGAAGCAGACCCTGAGGCGAGGGTTGAGTTCAGGTAGTTGATTTGGGAGGTAAAGGGAGTGAGTGGGGAGGTATAACAGGGAAGAAAGGGGCTATTAAAGGATTTGTTATCAAGTCAGCTACTACCGTCAACTGGAGCTTAATCCCACGGGGAAACTGGGAAACCATGCAGCACACACACTGAAGTTATCCCAGCCGGCGGCACGGAAGCTGGCGGAAAAGTCAGTGGTTCAGGTTGTTCCCAAGGGTTGTAAATGTCCCAGCACTTTCAGCCGGGATGGAGGTGTGCAGGGCAGCCTTCAGCCTCTGGGGAGAAATCCCTTACACGAAGAGACGCCTGTGCTGACATCTGGAAACCCCCAGCGCACAAGAAGCCACAAGCTCAAAGGAATACGGGCGACACCCACTACCATCTACCACAATCTCCAAGTGCAATTTGGGCAAAGCCTAATCTGAACTCGGAGTCATCTCTCTCTGGGTAATAAAGGACCAATACGGCGATGTGTTTGCTGGTCGGAAAAGGATGTAGCCCTTACAGAGAGACTAATGGAGAGCAAAGCCCAGCTGGTATGGGATACGGCATCTTACATCACTCTGACAACCAGAAGAGGAATTCAGAGACCACTAGAGGGTCTTGAGAGTGATGACTGACTCATGAGCTTCTTTCCACGTCTTAAGGAAATGCACCCAGGGCAGCTCTGCCACGTTTTTGGCTGGCTCTGATGACTACACCCCAACCTCTTATTAATCACACCTCAGGGTTGCTACCAGAGGGAACATCTTAGGAATATTTAAAGACAAGGGAACAGAAAATCCTCTGAGGCACGGATGAGAGAGGGCATTGATAGTTTATTTCCTGGGCGGGGGATGGGAGGTTGCAAAGGGCTCAAACACAGATCCCAGATCTTGGAGCTGGAATATATTGTACTAGCGGTCACTTGCAAGACTGGCTCAAAGGCCACCATCCAGGAAGGGGGGCGGGGTGGGGGAGGCTGCCCAAGGAGACAGTGATTAATCAGGACGGGCGAGGAGGAGCCTGGTGCCCTGCTGAAATTTAATCAGAGCAGTGGGCCTGACACAGTGGCACAAGTGCCGGGGCCTCTGGCGGCAACGATGCCTCCTGCCAAGAAGCTCCCAGGACTCCTCCAGGAGCCCTGACTGATGCTCTGAAACCAAACGAAGGTTCCCAACTGCACAGGGGATGCCGCAGCTTGGAACCTGCGGTTCGGCCTCTGAGATGCCTTTCTCAGTTACAGTCCCTCCTTTCATCTCTGAGAAGGAGAAACGGGAGGAAAAACTGGCGGGTTTCTGGTGACCCTTCCTAAGAGTTGGCCAGCCCCAGGTGGGGTGGCCAACCGTCCTGGTTACTCGGGACTTTCCCAGGTTTTGCGCTGAGAGCCTCACTTCCCAGGAACTACCCAATCCCGGGCCAACCGAGGCAGTGGCCACTCACCTTTAAGCCTTCTTGATGGTGGCGACCCATCTGCGCCCAGGGAGAAACCCAACCACCAGGTTAAGGGACTGATGTGGACTTAAGCCTTCAACAACGCCTGTGACATCAGAAAGGTTCATCACGGCGTGTTTGGATCCTGCTAGAAAGAGACAGGATGGTACAGGAGCCTTACCTCCAAGGTGGATACACGGCAGGACAAGTCGGGGCAACCGCAGGTGTGGTGAAACACGGGCTCAAGTGAAGAATTTAAGCAGAGGCTACGTAGTGCCACCCTCCATTCGGCTTTCTTGGGGATCTGACACCCCACCCACTCCTGCTGAATTCCGTGGAACCCACGGGGGTGCGAGGCAGACGCTGCAGTCCCCCGGCCCGGGGGCGGCTTCCTGCGCGTCACCAGCCGCCTCTCCCTGCGCCTCTGCCTGAGGACCTGCCGACCCCACGGGAGGCGCTCCCAGTCCCAGGCTGCGCAGCCCGGACTGTGGGGCAGCCGACGGCACGCTGTCCTGGGGGCAGGTTCTCAGGGGTCTCCAGAGGCTGGGGGGAGGCTCCTCATCATCTCACACTTGGTTGGCCCTTCTCCCTCCCCCCACCCCATCCCCATCTCATGCTCACTTGTGTCTCCTGAGATCGCCCCCCAAGTCCTGCTCTCAGCCTCTGTTTGTGAAGGGGCATAAATTGGGACCCACTGCTTCTCCCTGTAGGCGTGACCAACAGTTCTCTGAGAGTGAGCCCCCGCTCCCAGGAGGGGTCCACTCATCTGTCACCCTTGTTTAAGGCTCTGTGTGACTTCACTGCTACCCCCAACATTCCAAGTACAGAAAAGAAGCGAATAAAGAATGAAAACATCAAACAGCTACACAGAAATATAATGCAGTCACTGATACTGTGCCAGAGAGGGACTTTCTACACGTAAAAGAGGAAATATTTACCCCCAAAAAAAAAGAGTAATAAATATTACTCACAAAACCTTTCAAAATTTCTACAGCTCTGGTCATTGTTAAAGCTGATCAATGGGTACAGGGA